TATATCAAAGTAAATAATCATGGGGCTTCTTTTCACCTTCCAACACCACATGGTGTGTGGATGCACCACCGGCCGTTTGTCTTTTTGATGCTATGAATGGGGACATTGCATTGTCCATTCATGTCCTTCCATCTATATTATTTCAAATGCACAGGATGTTAAATCTGTTAAACAGAAATACAAATAAAAATGTCAAAATACAGCACAGTTTATTACAGTTGGTCACTGACGAGGTATTGTTAATAAGACATGAGTTTTTCTTCCCATTGATTGGAGGATAATGTGATTAATGTGATAATGTAAGGGCCACTGATAATAGTTTACCAGTTTATTTACCTCTGTTACTCAGAAACAATGAAGGTAGCTTATGTTAAGGATTTAGTTATTTCAACCTATTTTTGATGAAGTGGGATGTCACTTATATTTTATAAATCATATTTTGTTCTGCAATGTTTATGCAGACTTTTTATTTTTTATTTGTTTTTGTTACTTTTTTTGTGGAAAATCTGTATGCATTTTCACCTATTTTTGATGAGGTGTGATGTATATATATATATATATATATATATATAATTATTATTATTATAAAGTAATAACTGCATTATTATAATAGACCTTTTTCACATTTCCAGGTTTCTCAGCAGTGAAAGTCGTCATAGTTGGGTGAAGGGGAGAGTACGACAAATATATTTTTTGCATTTCCATTTGCTCAAATAGCAAATTAAAAACTCCACAATAGTGTTTTCACGACTTTCAAAAAAAGGAAAAAAATTGAGAGACTGATAACGGCAGTCAGAAGAGAGAACGATGTGATTTTTTTTTTATTGATTTTTTTTTTGGGGGGGGGGTCTACTTATAGCTAAGATGTTTCTGGTCATGTTTTCTGGTCTGTTGAGGTGAAGTATTTTTAAATCTGGCACAAGTGTATAAATATGCCTGTTTATTATTATTTTTATATTATTTATGTAGCCAACTTTAGGAAATCTTGTGTGCATCTCTCTGACCACATGTCATAGGGATCATGTTTGTTTTTTCTTTCTCCTGTGCAATCAAGCCCTCTGAACTGATCACATTTCCCTCAGGCCAGCACGGTGGCTAGATAAGACTCAGGCAGAAACAATTGCTGGAAGCCGAGCACCGAGAGGAGTGGGCTTTTAAGACATCTTATTTTTGAATCTAGTGCAGTGAACACAATAAGAGAGTCCACAACCGATTCTGTGTACGCAGCTTGAGCTCTTTCCTTCAGCTCAACAATGACCTCCCCTGTTAAAACAAAAACTTCAGCGTTATCAACACATATTTTCTTGGGGGTGAATGAGGTTCTAACAACCAGAAGGTGATGAATATTATGCTTAAACAATGCTATTATACCCAAATCTTTCAACAGGACAGAGTTGGCAATTCTGAAAATGCAGTCGTGTATGCGTGAAAAGAGTAGTACATTTAACTTAAATGCTTATTTTTGACTTACATCTGTCCTTTAGCTGATTTATTTTATATAGCCTAATAGTATTAATATTATTAGCTATTTTAAACAGTGTACAGTTTAATCTCATATGTTACTAAAAAGTTAGTAAAATATGACACTGGACCACAAAACCAGTCATAAGTAGCACAGGTATATTTGTAGCAATAGCCAACAATCCATTGTATGGGTCAAAATTATCGATTTTTCTTTAATGCCAGATGCTAAGTAAAGATCATGTTCCATGAAGATATTTTGTAAATTTCCTACCGTTAATTTATATCCAAAATTAATTTTTGATTAGTAATATGCATTGCTAAGGACTTAATTTGGACGACTTTAAAGGTGATTTTCTCAATATTTGGATTTTTTTTTTTTGCAACCTCAGATTCCAGATTTTCAAATAGTTGTATCTCAGCCAAATATTGTACTATCCTAACAAACCATACATCAATGGAAAGCTTATTTATTCAGCGTATTAATCTCAATTTTAAGAAAATAGACTCTTATGACTGGTTTTGTGGTTCATGGTGACAAATAATTGTATTTTATAATAATTTTTTTTTGTTGTAGCAATGATAAGATTTGTTTTTACCACGCCAATAAATTTGCTTAAATCTACATGTGAAATATGTGAGGAAGAGGTGAATGAGGCTAAATACATAACCGTGTGTGAGACCCCACCTAGTGGCCATACAGTAGAATTACATCCATACTGCAGCGCGAGCGTGTTTTTGTAGAGAGGCAAGACACAAGACTCAAGAATGGTTCAAGAATGCATATTTATATACTGTATATACTCATTTTTGCAATAACACATAATACAACATCATAAAAAAGACTCCCTTTTCCATCAGTTGCTGCATGGACAGAAAGACTTCAACTCCTGAGAGAGATAAAAAGAGAGAGAGAGAGAGAGAGAGAGAGGGAGAATTAAATAAGAAACATTTGCTTTAACATGTTTAACTCTGTAATATATATTTCTGATTTAACACTTATGCACTGTTGGGGTTGTAGAGAGAGAGAGAACCAAACAGAATAATCATGTTACTGACATCTAACTCCAAACTCCAAATTTAAGTATATAAGAGCAAAACCCCCCAACTGAATGTTCTCTCTTCTTTCCTCAGTTGTTTGTCAGGTGAGTGGTTGAGTGTTGTTTTGAGTGTTTCCTGTGAGGTTAATATTAATTTGGCTGTGAGCTAGTTTAAGATCAGTTTATATACTTTCAAATGAAAAAATGCAACGTGTGTTTTTTTTATTAGATTACATTTTATTTTGATGGTCCCCTTTAGTCTATTGACTATAAGCAACTTTGCAACTACATGTCAGCTAACTCTCAGAGTATTAGCAGGCTTAGTTAAGGTTAGGGTTGGTAGAATAAGTTGATGTACTTGCAAAGTTGCTTATAGTGAGTAGAATATCTGTTGGGGAGCCATCAAAAAAAGTGTTAGCAGATATTTAGCATACAGTCTACTAATACTCTAATGCCTGCTAGTTGACATGTAGTCGCAGAGTTACTTATCAACAGTTGTCTAAAGGCTACCATCAAAATAATCAAATTGATATTACTTGAATGTTCAGATGTCTGGCCCGTTACAAACCCGTTTAACACAGCAGCACACGTACTGCATGTTGGTGTATTGTTGTAGATGCGGTGGACGTGGCGGCGCGTGTGGCTCAGTACATCAGCGGAGCGGCTCTCACACACCAGCTGCCCATCGCTGAGGCCATGCTGACCTGCAAACACAGAACGTACGGCTCTGTCTCTCATTACAGCTGCACATCTTTCACTGCTCTACTCACAACTCACTTATCACTTCCTCTTACAGGAGAGATGAAGATTCCTATCAGAAATTCATTCCCTTCATTGGGGTGAGTAGGAAGAGGAATCACTTGTTGGTGGTGGGATTGCACCCATATGTATTTCTTACTAGGCATAATATTGCATTTTGCATTCATATAAATATATTAGACAATGACATTTTGAGTTTTTTTTTTTTTTGCAAAAAGCATGAATGTCACTCAAACTATTTTTTTTTATGTTTCACGTTTTACTTTACCCCGGTTGGGAGGGAAATTTTTTTGGGGGGGGGGGGGTGTTTGGCGGCGGACGGTCGCGAGGGGTCGTGTTTCTGTCACTGACACACAGAAAATACTGACAAACTATATTCGACCGTTTTAAATTACGTTACTCGACTCGTGTAAAATACACAAACCTGACCGTAATATGGAGCAGTTTGTTGTCGATGTAAAAAGTAAGAATCTATTTTGTGGAAGATTTGTGGCAGTTAGCTCTGTGAGGGATTATCTCTTATGGATATTATTGGTAATTTTAGCACTATCTGTTGTAATTATTTCAGCTTACCTTGTCATAAAGTGATTTAGCACAGTACGTGAAGCTGTTTGAAGGCTGACTCTGTCTCTTTCACAGACCTGTCAGAGAAACTTCTCCACAGACAGATCGATTCAAATTTGGATGAGGTGATTGAGACTCTCTTCAAAGCGATTTCAACTCTAGATGCAGCAGCAAAACTACAGGAGTCACAGGTGTGCAATGCCCACCTCAGTTGAAACCACAAGAGATCATGTGTGATGAGTTTTTTCTGTCTTGGTTTATCGCGATCAGGTCTTCTCGTATTTTCTCGTTATCTTGACATAACTCATTTTTATGTATTTGTATTTTTTTAAGTAAGTTAACTCAAAGCTCCTTAGAAATGCCGTAATTATGGTTTAATCTGTAATAAATAATGCAATTGTGTTTTGTAGTTGGAGGAAATCGCCATACAGCTGTGGAACTGGGCAGTGACCAAACGTGTTGGCTCAACTATTACAGAAGAGCAAAAGGCCAAAGGTCTTTTTTCTCTATTATTGTATCTGTCTATTAATATATCTGTGTATCTGCCAATCATCTGTCTTTCTGTTTTGCCATATAGATATTTTTTCCTGTACCAACAAAAGAAAGTTTAAAAAGTCTATCTCCAGATGTTTGCACAGATGTCAATTATTTGATAAACTACAAATTTGTTTAACTCACTGCACATGTTTCAGTGCGTCATGTGGCATGCAGACTTCTGTATTTATGCGGGCCTGAGAACCCATCAGAGAATATTGTTCGCAAGCAGATACTGGTTTGTGAAATCTGTTTTTGTTTTGTTTTTATCCATTTAGCTTGTATAAATTCCAACAGTAGATTTGTTCATTTCAATCGTTTTGCATTGTTTCTGGCATATTTTATTACTGTGTATATTACTGTAACTCTAAAATGTCTTCCTCAGATGGCGAGTAAAACGGGAAGAACATGGCTTGATTGCAATAAACCCAAAGTTGCTGAAGATTTTTTGAGCCTTGCTGTCAATGTACGTGCAGTATGAATGCAATCTCACTATGAAGACAACAAAAATAGACTTTGCATGTATGCAAAAATAAATAAATAAATAAAATATAATATACATGCAGCCACTGTATATTGGAACACTGAAAATACCAATGATTATTATTCTAATTTAGTGACTTTGAGAATAAGAAACTAAGAATGATACTTTCACAGAGCCTGGAGACTCTTTACAGCAGACTCACTTCCCATGGAGATTGTGCAGAAGATATAAACACACCAAAGGGAGACATAGAGAAAGACCTGCTGCGGGTTTTGTCATATCAAGCTGAATCTGTGAGCAGAGATTGTTTAGCATAAAATTAATGTCTGAATACTCTATACTTGAAATACTTGAAAACCACTGGATCAAATGTGGATATTTAATGCGTATATTTCATATTTGAGATTTAGCAGATTATTGCAATGGTTTTACAATTTACACAAATATATATATATATATTTTTTTTTTTTGTTGTTGTTGTTGTTTTTTCAGAAAGAAATTAATTTCTGTTGTCTCAATAGGCAGTTTCTCAAGAACAACATCAAGAGGCAGTGTCATGCATACAGCGATGTAAAGAAATGCTTCTGCGTCTACCTAAAGAGGTGGACAAACTGTTGTCATCAGCTTGTCAAGTGGTGTCATTGATTATTTTGATTTGAGAGAGATTTAGAAAATACAAACTATTAAAAAATAAAATAAAAACACTTTTGTGAAATTTCCTTTAGACTGGCTATCTCTCTCTCATCTGTTACAACTTTGGGGTTGACACTTACAGTCAGGGAAAGCATGAAGAGAGCACATTTTGGCTAAGGTAGGGATATCTAATATATATTGTATATACAACTGTTTTGTATTTTAATATATTTAAAATTTTCATTTAACTTTTGTTACTACAATATAATTGATAATACTATAATTTAAGTATTTACACTTTTCCTTATATATAAACTTTTTCTGCATTTCAGCCAAAGTTATGATATAGGCAAGATGAATGTGAAGTACTCACCAGGATCAGAGATGCAAGTAAGAAATATTAGTCAACACTGAAATTAAAATGATAAATTATAAAAATTATTATAAAATAATAATTATAAAAATATAAATTATTGTAATTTATATAAATGTATCAAATGATCTAATCAGGATAATATATGGAGTTAAAAAGTAATGTTCATTCACAAACGATCACATTTAATGTCCAAACTCCAAACTGTTTATTTCCATGTCTAAATTGAATCCCAGATCTTCAGTGCGGTCTCAGACTTTTTTGCATTACCTGAATGCATTGTAATCTTACTTCCCATTCCTCCAGGCCAAAGTTTTGAGACTTCTTGCAAAGGTTTATTTGGACTGGGACTGTCAGAAGTACCTGGAGAAAGCTCTTCATGCTGTGAGCTTGGCTAATAAGGTAAAGTGTTCCTAGTGCAACCAGATCTTGACAAAGCAGACCATCAGATTGGACTGTAGCACACTGTGGATTGGACTGTAAGTTTTTTACATTTGGCCATTTCATTGTTTTCTTTTCAGGAGCATATGCAGTTGTCAGGCCTGTATCTGAAGATTCAAATCCTAAATAAAAGCCACAGCCCAGATGAGGCAATAAAGTCTGGTGAGCCTGGTATCTCTGCTGAAATTGCAGTTTGTGGATAGTATGTTTTGTACCCCACAAATGTGTCCCTTCTTAACATGTTCCTTCCCACGTCAGGGCTGTCAGAGCTACTGGACTGTGAGGTTCCTCTGGAAGTGTGCTTGAGCACAGTAAAACTGCTTGTGGAAAATAACAGGTATGATCTCTCATCTCTCTAAATAGGCACAAAAATCATCTTCTTGAAATCTGTGGTTGAAAAGGCCAGGTATGACAGAAACACTGACATGTTGTTGTTTCAGGGAGGCTCTGGCCTTTTACTTCCTGAAGAGGGTGTGTCAGCACTTTGAGTCGTCTCCTGAACTGGGCTCCGCTCTGCTCATGCATATAGAACTGCTGCTGCAGCGGGACAAAGAGCTGCTGGCCAAGCAGAAGATTGAGGATGCTATCACAGGTAATTTTCATTCAATGTTAGTAACCAAGAATGTGTTTCATGTCATTACTGAATTGTGTGTTTAATAATTGTTTTCTAGGACATTACACTGGAAAACAACTAGCACCTCAGACTCTATCATCTCTCCACCTTCTTCTGTGGGATAGAGCTTCCAAAAACTTTGAAGTACAACATCAGTTTTATGTGTTTAAAATATATATTTAAAACCATTTTTAGAAAGGCAATAAATACTTTGGATTGAATAGTCATTCAATTACAAATAAGAGTACTATTACCTCCATTGAATACATTTTGAGGTAGAGTATGATAAAATGTTTTCAATGGAGGTAAGAGTACTATTACCGCCATTGAAAACATTTTATCATACTCTACCTCAAAAGTTTGGGGTCTTATTTTCACCAAGGCTGAATTTGTTTGATCAAATATATGGTTAAAACAGTGATATTTTGAAATATTTATTTACTGATATTTACTCCATTCTTCAGTGTCACATGATCCGTCAGAAATTATTCAAATTTGCTTATTTGGTGCTCAAGAAACATGTCTTATTATAATCAAAGTTAAAAACTGTTGAGTTACTTAGTATATTTGTGGAAGCCATGATACATTTTTTTCTCAGGATTGTTTGAAAGGAAGTTAAAAACAACAGCATTTTTTGGAAATAGAAATATTTTGCAACAATATATCTTTGCTGTCACTTTTTGGTCAGTTTAATGCATCCTTGCTGAATAAAAATATAAATTTATTTAAAAAGAAAAATAATACTCCCCCAAACTTTTGACCAGTAGTGTGTATAAAGAGATTTCCCTGTGTGATTTTGTGTGGGTATGTTTTTCTTTATATAGTACTGTATAGTTGCAGCATGAATCAAGTAGAGCTTGTTAGTTTTAGTTCAGTGAGACAGCTGTCATGTTTGTTGTCTTGCACAGGCCAAGAACTATTCTGAAGCTCTGGAGTGGTATAACTACTCACTGAGCTTCTACAGAGCCGGCGAGTTGGATCAAAACCTTGCTAAACTGCAAAGAAACCGATCCACCTGTTTCCTGCACCTGAATCAATTTGAGAAGGTAACATCTCATTACGTGGACACAAGTTTTCATACATACATGTCTGTTGTGAAAGTTTCCACATTGTTCAATTCTTGTTGAAGGCCAAAGAGGCTGTAGAAAAGTCAGCAAGGATTGATCCAAGCAACATTTTCACACAGTTCAACATCTACAAGATCGCTGTACTGGAAAACAATGCCGAGAAAGGTAATGGAGAGGATGTAAAGTCACACGAGTGTCTCAGGCGTCTCTGTAAAATAACCAGGCATCAAATGATCATGCAAAACCTAGAAACATCAGGGAATTTTACAGTCGCCAGGAAGTTTCATGGAAATTAATACAAATTTTTGGCTAGAAAGTAATCGATTGGCTACATATTGATCTTTGATTTATACAATAATGTGTAACCACTTTGATACTTTTAGTCTGCAAGGAAGCATTAAGCAAAGTTACAAAATATTTCTATTTCAAATAAATGCTGAATTTTTGTATTTCTTGAAGAATCCTGAGAAATGTACCATAGTTTGTTTCCACAAAAATATTAAACAGCATAACTGTTTTTAACATTGACAACAATAAGAAATGTTTCTTGACCAGAAAATCATTGTAACTGATTCCTGAAGGACCATGTGACACTGAAGACTGGAGTAATGACTGCTCAAAATTCAGCTTTTCCATCACAGGAATATATTATACTTTTAAAGGGGTCATATGATGCGATTTCAAGTTTTCCTTTCTCTTTGGTGTGGTACAAGCTGTTCGTGAATAGATAAGATCCATAAAGTTGCAAAGACTAAAGTCACAAACCCAAAGAGCTATTCTTTATGAATGTTAAGACTCGTCCACGCCCTTCTAAAACGCCTAGTTTAAACACGCCCCCACATGTCAACGTCACTGTGTGGGAAGATTTGCATAACCCCGCCCAAATGTTCACGCAAAGAAAGAAGGAGTAACTTTATTGTTGCTGCCGCCGCCATGTTGTGAAGACGCTGTGTGTTTTGTTGCGAAAGCGAAACTACTTTCTTTGGTCTTCCAAAAGAGGACACGACTAGAAATCAGTGGTTAAGTTGTATTTACAACACTGTTCCAGAACAGTTCAACCCAAATATTCAGATGTGTGCAGCGCATTTTATGGAGGACGAGGACTGTTTCCTGATCCTTGGAGAGTAGACTACAATGCCGGCTGTTCTGACTCACAGCCTGTAAGTATGTTTTCATATTTAAAGAATTAGCCACTGACGATTCAAACGCGAGTTTTGAGCAGTGTAGAGTAACGCTTGTTGTTTGTCATTTCTCCGATCACAAATGCAGACATGCTTTTATGTTTACGCGGTACAATGCAACGCAATGCGTAAAAAGACTGTATAAGTCCCCACTGGATGCAACAAATACCTCGTTTGTAATGGGTTTTATTGGTTTTGTCTCGTCGCTATACCACTGGATAGCTGGCCAATCACAGCACACCTCGCTTTTCAGACCGATGAGCTTTGTAAAAATCGACATGTTTCAGAAAGGCGGGGCATAGAGGAGAAACAGTAATGTACAGTATGTGGAAAATAATGTGTTTTTTTAACCTTAAACCGCATAAACACATTCCATTACACCAAATACACAAAATAATGTTCTTTTTAGCAACATCATATGACCCATTTAATTGTATTAAAATAGATAGCAATTGTTTTAAATTTGTTATTATATTTCACAGTGTTTTCATTGTGTTTTGATCAAATGAATGCCACCTTTGTGAAAATAAGACACTCTTTTCAAAAAGATTTTTAAAATCCTACCGACCCCACATTTTTGAATGGTACAAATGTAAATCAGCCACAGAAATCACTATACATTTTTAAAAACTGATGTGAATGTCTGTCTTTAATGTGTTAATAAGCTGCCGCGGCTCTGAGAGAGATTGGCGCTCTGGCTCAGAATCCGGTCACCAGTGAGGACAGGCTGCTAGTGACTGAGAACGCTGCTGCAAATCTCCTCAGCCTGGCCGCACACATCGCTCTCGAGGTTGGCCATATTATACCAGATTCTTATGACTTTTCTCTCATCTGTATATTTCAAAGCAATAATATTATAAGACAGCAGTCACTGTGCCTTTTTGTTTAGTTTAATAAGCCACATAATTGTCGGTAGCTCGGAAGTATTTCAGCAGTATTTTTCACCACAGCATGAGCAGCAGGAAACAGCCGTCAAAGCCCTAGAGAGTCTGTGTGAACACTCACAAGATGTTACTCAAATCCTCACTGCCTTGAGGTCAGTCACACATTCATTTTGACCCTAAGCTTCAGCCCATAGTGCTTATATCAGCAGCAAACAGGAGCACATCAAGTATCTCTGCTATAGAAACATAATTTCCTCATCTTTCTTTGTCAGGTGTTTAGTACGACTTGTTCTTACAACAATGGAAAACATCAGTGAGGAAAACAGGTTAGTAGATCAGTGGTGCAGTGGCGCAAATTCAGCAAAGCTGCAACTCTATCTATCACACACTCTGTTATTAAAACAGGAATGCCAACTTGGATATCCTCCTGTCTTACCTAAAAACAGGTACATTTACCCATAATACTTCATTACACTCTGTTGTTTTAATCAGTCATATTTCTCCACACTGATTTACTGTATGCATACTGAATTTACAGCCCTTGAGAAATTACCACAAATCAGCCAGATTCAAGGCCACGGAGCACAGCAGCATTCAGAAGACGCCAACTGGTTCAGGAGGATCGGTGCTTTATTCCTAAACCTCCAGCTTTTGAGAGATTTATCTATTTGTTGGTTGTGTTTGACTGAGTGTGTGTGTGTGTGTTGTCTCTGTCAGGGTGGAACTCGGCCCTGCAGTGTGAGCACAGTCCTGTGAGGATGAGGGATTTCTTTCTTCTCTCCTTCCAGGTAAGTTCAAGCACAGTTCCTCTTAGTAGCTGCAGGCTAGTTCATAATCACATTAACGCAAACCCACATGCTGATACTGTAGCTGTAGTTAAGTGTAGTTAAAGCGAGATGTGTGATGTGCTGTCTGGCTGGGCAGCTGTCGCAGCTGTGCACCCCAGACCGAGGTATGTTGATGGGGCAGAAGACGTGTCTGCTGATGGCTGCTGCTGCGTCTCTGGAGATCTGCAGGAGCTCTGATCACACTGAGCAACAGGTGGATCACTCACTCGTTTATCACTTCCACCTGATTAAACAATAACCAGGAGGCAAGAGGTGTTTTGCTTGCTTTTCAAAGACAAGGTGGAGCCTTGAAACTTGACACTGTACAAATTCTGAATATGGACTGAAGTTGTGTGCTTAAAAGCATGATCATTTCAAGGGTTTTCTAAGTGAAATTCCTTTTTGCTTTCTTAAGCTACAAACTCTCCACATCAGTGTCAGTGGGCCTCTGTATTTTCTCAGTATTACTGAGTCCAAGGCCTCCTATTGTCCACAACACTATTCGAAGGCCCAATACTCTATAAATGAAATTTCTTGATTCCACAAGTTGAAAATTCTTAAAGGGATAAATGAACACAAAAGAAGATATTTTGAAGAATGCTGGTAACCAAACAGTTGCTGATAGCCATTGACTTCCATGGTATTTTTTTCCATACTGTGGAAGTCAATGGCTACCAGCAATTGTTTGGTTACCAACATTCTTCAAAATATCTTCTTTGTGTTCAACAGAAAAAAGAAACTCATGAAGGTTTGAGTGTCAGGTCAGGGTAAGTAAATGATGATAACATTGTAATTTTTGTGTGAACTGTCCCTTTAAAGTTTCCCATTCTGTCTAACCAATGACTTTCCCAGTCATTTGTGATATACAGGACAAGGGGTAAGGAAAAATAATATTTTTTAAATATATTTTTTAACTCACTTTCCAAAAATGTATTATTAAAAATCATTATAAAAACACCAGTGGAGTTTTAATAATTTATTAATTTAATCATTTAATGATTTGTCCAGGCCTAGAAATCACACTTTTAAAATTAGGCAAAATTACTTTTTAATTAATTTAGCTTATTTTAATGGCTAATAGCTTATTTTATTTTAAATTTTGGCTCCCTTGGAGATTTGCCTAACCCCCTGGTTGAAAATCACTTTTCTAGGGGTTGCAGAATTAAAATATATATTTTTATATATTTAATATTTACATAAACATACAATTATTAAATATTAATATTCATTTATTTATTATTGGTAAGTCTAACCAAAAAATACTCTTGATTGCTTTAATATACTGACAGGCCTTCATTTTGTTGAAAATGAAAACAAGAATTATTTCCAGCAGAAGTACAAAAGCAAATATCAAAGCCCATGTAGGGGGTTCTCCAATATTGTTTTTGACAATGGGAGACCTTGAAGTTGGAAAGTTTTGAGAAACACTACTCCACACGTGTTCCCTGATCTCAGTTTATCCTTGCTACTATGACTGACCAGCAGAGGGCGCAGTGTATAATATCTGCTGTGCTTTCAGACTGAGCTCCTGACCCAGACTCTAGAGCACATTCAGCTCTGTAAAGAGATCTGGACGACCATCAAAGCATCAGGTGTCACCTACAATTTTCATTCTTTTACATATGTTGGATTCTACATGCAGACTCTACCTGTTTGTCCAGAATGATAAGGATCTTAAGCATCTTTCTGGCACATTCTTTCCTAGGCACTTCCTCTAAAGACAAAACAGACACATTATTGCTGCTCTATGAGTTTGAAGCCCGGGCCAAATTAAATGATCCAAAGCTTGAATCAGTGCTCGAATCAGTTTTGGAACTGGATTACATTGAGACCAAGCTGCTAGAAATGATCGCAGGTGAGCTTCTAGAACCATAACCTCTTTTTTAAAGAATTACATATTTGAAAGATTTATGGATGGTGAAATTCTGACTGAATGTGTGGATATACACTACCATTCAAAAGTTTGGGGTCAATTTTTTTTGTTTTTGAAAGAACTGAATACTTTTATTCATCAAGGGTACATTAAATTAATCAAAACAGACAGTAAGGACTTTTAATGTTACAAAAGATTTTTATTTCAAGTAAATGCTGTTCTTTTGACCTTGTTATTCATCAGAGAATCCTGAAAAAATGTCAGTTTCCATAAAAATATTAAGCAGCATGACTGTTTTCAACATTGATAATAACGATTCTTGGGCACTAAATCAGCATATTAAAATTATTTCTGAAGGATCATGTGACACTGAAGACTGGAGTAATGATGCTGAAAATTCAGCTTTGCCATCACAAATAAATTACATTATGGGGTGCTGTGTGTACATTAATGAGGAAAAAAAATTAACTTAAATGATTTTAGCAAATGGCTGCAATATAACAAAGAGTGAAAAATTTAAGGGGGTCTGAATACTTTCCGTACCCACTGTATATATTTTTGATGTTTTTTTTGTTGTTGTCTTGGTGAGCATAAACAATAAAAAAAATCTTACTGACCCCAAACTTTCAAATGTTAGTGTATAAAATACTATAAGCTCTGATGGTCCTGTACTTTGTGTCTACAGTCCTGGCGATGGAACCACCGGCCCATTTCCCTGTTCTGTGTAAGAAAGCACTGAGGATCACCTTGTCTCTGCACAGAAAACAGCCACAGGTCGACCTCACGCGCTGCAGGTCAGACTAGCCAAGCGTTACTTACACAATTAATTTACCAGACTGATAGATAACAAAAGACACCAAACTGTTCCTCATATGACACACACCTTATACATGTGTGTGTGTCACAGTAACTGTTTACACAGCCTGATTCAGCTGACGCTGCCGAGCGGCGTGTCTGAGGTGCAGCCCTGCGTGCTGGAGGAAGTGTGGGGCTACTATGAGGAAGCTCTTTCCACCATAGCAACCGCAGTGAGTTGGTTACTATGACTCAGCAGCCGTCACACACGACTCGCTGCAGCTCAGCCCCGCAATTATCTCCATCTTTAAAAGAATCTCCTGTTTCTGTCAATGGGCTTTTAGCTATGCCTCAGTTCGCAGATGCTCCATTCACCAGCTTCTTCCTGCCAATTTGGATGCTAATTTGAAATCTCGCCTGCGTCCTTTATCTTGAACTAGCGTTGCAGAAAACGTGCATAAGCATCAGGGTGCTATTCTGAATTCATGACCTTCACGACACCATCGATATGAAATCGCATTATAGAATTCTGCAGCTATTATTATAGCATCTGATCCATTTCTCCTTGATATCAGTAACGCAGTGTTTTTTAAACCTCTCCATGAAGTACTCCCAGCACTGCACATTTTGTATGTCTCCCTATATCTGACACACCCACTTCAGGTCTTGCAGTCTCCACTAGTGAGCTGATGAGTTGAATCAGGTGTGATAGATGAGGGAGACAAACAAAATGTGCAGGGCTGGGGGTACTCCAGGACAGGTTTGAGAACCACTGCACTAACGGACGTCTTGCTTTCTCACACAGCCCGAGGACTTTCCGGAACTGGAGATCCTGTGGCTGCTGACCCGAGCGTGGAATACAGGAATCCTGCTCTACAGTCTGACCCAGTATCCCGAGGCCGAGCGGTGGTGCGGGCTGGGAATGAGCTTCCTGAAGCACCTGGGCTCCCTGCAGGACAGCTATCATTCTCAGGTAACGCTGCAGGAGGCGGACGGGCCGCTCTACAGCTGTTTGAGCGCTCGACCCAAGGCGCTGGATTTAATTTTCATGTTTCATATTCTCCTTGCCTCAAGTCAGGTGCGCGAGCTGCTTTTTTCATCACCTCAGTAGGAGGCTTAATTAGAGCAGCAGGTTTGGTTACAGCTATGTAGGTTGGTAGTTAAAGCAACTTGCAGTAGCTCAGCTAATATTTTAAATGTGTCATTTGGCAAGAATGAATTCAAGAATTCACAAGATAATATTCAATAAAAACATTTTGTTAATGTTGTCTGTTAAAAGAAAACGTGGCAAGGTGTGAATAAAATACATGAAATGCATCTCCCCAGATGGCGGGTCTGTACAGTGAGGTGTTGGATAGGCTGGATAAAGCAAAGAAGAATCTCATTATTGAGGAGTGAATGACGGCGTCTTCACAGATGGAGATCTCAGGTCTAACTGCACGTTTAATATGTAGCGTGAATTTCTGTGCATGTTTTTGAGAAGCTAAGAGATGTAGAATGCATCTGAGGGGTTTGTTCGTACGGTTATGAAATGGTTCATATTCATTTAATCTGAAATATTTCTGGCAGTATTATTTTATTACCTGTCATCCGGTTATCTGTTTGAGCTTTTCTCGATTGACTAGTTCAAAACATCTGCATTGCGATACAAAACAAATAAAAATGCATGCATTGAAATCGTAACAGAGTCACATAGTTTATTTCCAAACAAATAAACTCTTGTCCAGTCCAAAAAAGAAGAAAAAAAACCCGAAACAAAAATAATAATAATCGGTAGGACTGTGTTCCTTCCTGACCAGGATATAAAAAAGCAGTTTTCCTTGTGTCCTGATGGGTTGTGCCACCTGTAATCATGGGGAGGACACTACTGTACAATCAAAGGGTTCATATTTGCAAGCACTTACTGCACAGGTGTGCTGTCACATCAAAAACTCATAATCACTCAAAAAGACAAATTCCTTCCCCATTTCACGCTCGTGCCTTCCAGAGCAGAGACACTCATTAGTACACCAGAGCTGTTCTGATTCAATCCACTTCATTAGAAATATAGTACAATGAATCAAAATTCTTTGGGCTTCACCAACACGGCTGACCGGCGTCAACAGTGCGAACGGTCAGCTGCTTTTCCGCTCGTCACCTCGGAGGACCAGATCTACACTAAAAAGAGTCATTTAAGATCCTGGTTTACTTTAATATCAATCTATGGGTTGAAGTCCGCATGTCTTTTTATATATATTTATATTTATATATATTTTTACATTTGTTTTTCATCTATACACTCAGACAAGTTCCACAAGATATCACAAGTAGACAGGCCGTATTGTAGGGAAGCTGTTCCCGACTCACTAAAAAAAATGTTCTGATAGGCAGCTGAAGATATTTTTTCTATAGAGAAATACCAACGTTACGGCACATTTGTATGGAAATTAATCTCAGAATAAATTCAAAGTTTACTTACCTGACATTTGTGATTTATAAAATATGTTTGTCCCAGTTGTATCACACATGCATGAAGCACAAGTGAGGGGGATATTTACACTTTACAGCGATCATACCCATTAAAACAGTCTGTAAGCAGTTTATAAATGGCTCTGTTCCGTTCGATTATTCCCTGAACTCTGGTTTTGACACAGGTATGACAGCTGATTTCGCAGAGACGCTTGGCAGGTGAAGCGCACCTGTTTAGAAAAATGCCTGCGGGGTGGGGCGGGGGAAGAGAGTGGGCCCAAGAACTTCCCTCGCTTTCTGCGGGATCCAGACTTCTTGATACAGAAAGAAAGATCAAAGGAAGTACTGTACTTCTGTATCCTGTTCTGTCGCGATCCAGTTCTCTCCGGCTGAACCCAAGGGTGACCACAGACATAGTGCTTACAAAGTGTTAAAAAAAAAAAAAAAACAAGGACTAAATATTTAGAATACACAAGTATAATATATCAGCATGTCTGGGTGTTCAGTTAGAGGAAAGAAAATCATCCCATTTGAGTTCATACTCTCTCTATTCCATCACAATATGATCGCGGCCCTTTAGTAGTGTATAAAAAAAAAAGATTTGTAGTAATTATCCATCAGATTCCTGAGCTCGCCAAGCTCGCCCCGGCACAAGGCTCAACACAGTGAAGTAAACATCAGCCCGGAAATGAAGGAGCAGAAGAAAAAATTGTTAAAAAGCTGTCATTACAAAGAACAGATTTAATCAAACCATCGTCGAGTTCTGGGGAAAACGGTCAATTTCAGGCTCCACTAACGCTTTAATATCAAGAAGGACATCCAATACAATTATTGTCTTGATTCTACCCGTTTTAAGGCTGCGCTCCTGGGCAGCTAACAGGACAGTACCTTGTTACCGTTCAGTCTGAAGAGAATATAGTCATGGAAGGCAGAGGAAGTGCAAGTGGGCTGTCTGCTTTTCAACAACTCCAATGGCGGCCGAAATTGGATTTTGCTTAAGACAAAAAAAGCTTTGCAAAAAAGGATTTCACAGAGGTAAGACACTTAAGTCTATTGCACTCACAAGTTAGGCCTCCAATAGGATGACGGGAAACTCACAAATAGCACTAAAATCGAGTCTCCCTCTAAGCACTGATAGGTTGAATATTGTGTCGTTCCCCCTCCCCCCCACGATTGACAGGAATTTGACAGAAGCGTTTATTCATCGTAAGGCAGTTTGGTGGTCTGCAGAGAGCCCAGTTACACCTCTCTACCCCCATCTTTAATACAGAGCAGCTAAAACCACAAGAAAGAAAGAACACAAAAACCCAAAGACAAAGACAAAGTAAATGAAATCTAACAGCCCTCCGAGTAGACAATTCTAGTGAAGTGTAAAATGTGTACCGTATCATTTTGTATTATGTAGTAAAATCTCTCCGTAGGGTTTTTATTTTCCATGTGATTTCAGTAATAGAAATGTATAGACTCAAACCCCGTTTTCCATTTTGTTCTGCCTCCGAAACGGCCATACAAATGGCCAGGCAACCGATCGAGTAAAGCGAGCTGGTTTGTGAGTTCTGTTTTGAAGTTTATCCGTTAGAAACATGAGCAGTGACGGTACCATCAGCAGGTTTGAACTGTATCTAGTCCTCATAAAAAACCTTGCACAGCATCCTCAAACGTCTTTTTCCATGAAATCAAATGAACATATACAAGGTTCCTGCTCGTGCCACCATCTCCAACTCCCCGCCTCCCCATTCTCACTTTGTTGAGACATTCTCATCTTCAAGTCCATCCGAGACACACGAAAGGATCCGCTCAGGTTTCCCTTTTTTGTTTTACATGACAAAAAATCTCTTTAGGAATGGCATTTCCAATCTTGAATGGAATTGCTGAGAAACTCATGCAGGGGTGTGCACAGTCACAGTAATGGTGATAAGACGTCTTTCAATTGAGGGTAACATAATGATGACTAAAACTTGATATGAAACATATCAGTGAAAGGGAAGGAAAGGTGTCGGGTGGGAGTGGGGGGTGCCAGGTGGGGGGGCTCCGTGGAGGCGGCGAGCTCAGAGCTTCTCTGCGGACGGGATCCAGATGTAAGGGCCTGACTGCTCCTCTATGATCAGCTTGATTTTATTATAGATCTCATCTAGTGAGTCACCCTGGACTATGGCTGTGGAGACAGAGACAGAGAGAGAGAGACAGAGAGACAGAGAGATAGAGAGAGAGAGAGAGCAACAGTCATACTACAGCACACTGTTAAACAGTAACAGAGGGAGTGGACTAAAAGATTCTCTCTGGATACAGTTAAGAGAAATCACATGATGGTGGGGGTTACCTGTGAAATACTCTCCAAACTCTTGTTCGAGCTTCATTGCCTTATCAAAGACTTTACTGGCTTGCTCATATGTCTGCCTCTTATTCAATTCCCTGATGAACACAAAGAAGTGCATTACTTATTTCACATTGCATAAGCACATGCACATAATTATGAGACAAAATGTAGAGAACTACCATTTAAAAGTGTAAAAGTATTTTTTGTTCACGAAGGCTGCATTTATTTGAACAAAAATGCAGTAAAAACAGTAACTTTGTAAAATATATTAAAATAGACCATTTTACATTTTAATAATATGTCACAATGTAATTTACTCCTATGATGGCAAAGCTGATTTTTAGAAGCCACTACTCTAGTGTCACATGATCCTTCAGAAATCATTCCAAAATGTGGATTTGCTGCTCAAGAGACATTGCTTCTTATTATAAATACTACAAACAGGTGTGCTGCTAAATTTGTGGAAACCATTTATTTATTATAAAAATTTTATAACAAAAATATAGAACCTTCAAATTTAACATCCTTAACACAAAAAACAAACAAACATGATATGCATGACACCAAACTTTTGAACGGTAGTGTATACATTTAATTTACAAAATCTTAAACTTACATTAGGGCCTCCACAGATTTTGGCTTGATGAAAATGGCGATTGGATAGAGCTGTGCTTGCTGCAGTCGCTTTATGGCGTTCCCAGACACATCCAGGATACAGTGTTTTCCCTACAAGAGGATTAAAGAAACCCTTTCATCCCGTGTCACACTTTCACTGCACACAGTAATTGCCACAGGGAAAATATTGAAGGATTAAACAGGAGTTCAGATCCTCTGGCATGTTTACACTAGGGAGTCACTGACCCTTTCAGCCACTGCCCGGACAGACAGGATGCTGGTCCCGTACAGATTCTCATTGAACTGTCCGGCCTCGATAAATTTGTTGTCCTGAATGTCCTTCTCCATTTGCTCCCTTGAAGCCACAAAGTGGTAGTCCTGGCCATCCATCTCATTCTCTCGTCGAGGGCGAGTTGTATCTGAAGAAACGTGTGTATGTCTTTCTTTACTTTTACAAGTACCGCTAAAACATTTGATGATAAAGATGTTGTACATGCAGCCAGCATGGCCTTTTCTTATTACACTCACGTGGGACGCAGGATCCAAACTTGTGGGGAAACTCTGAGATCAAGTCATCGTTTACTCTGTCCTTCATTGGACCCAGGATAATCACAGGCCTTGTGTAATGGACTGAAAAGAAAGCCAGATCAATGTTGGTCAAAAACTTCCAGCCTTGGGTATAATTTCTTGGCTTTCCTCATGGAGGACATATCATGGAAAACAGGATTCTTCTTCTTTTTAAAAAAAAAATACAAGCTCCCTCCCCAGTCCACACAGACCATTTAAGAAAACTAAACTGCAAACACATTTACAAATGGTCACATTATCAGATGACGTTCATATTTGCATATCAACTATTGTTTATTTAACACCTCGACCCACCCTAATGAAAAACAGCTTTAACTATGGCACATACACTTCACGTTAAGAAATAAAGGCATCATAAAAGAGGTTATTTACATATAGAAATCCTAAAGCAAAAACAGTATGTTTAACTGTGATAGCTTACACTGCTACAACAAACACAAACACACCCAACTTGTGTCATGTATACTTGAGCAGAGAAAAGTAGATTGTAGCTTGGCCGCACAAAAAACTAGATCATAACTGCGCATGTAAAATGCAGCAACTAATCCAAAAAACATAACCGTTGGAATTTGTTGTGTGTGTGGCATGTGGGCAGTGAAAACCAGGATTAAGCGTGAGAGTGAGACTATTTTATAAAAAATATAAAATTCAGAATACTTACTCTCCTGTCGAATTACTGGCTCATATGAGAGAATTGTGTCTTCCTGACCCTCTGCATGACGAGAAAAGATAAAAATATCCATATCAAATATGAAGGTTTCATTTATCATCATTCAATACAAAAACAATCCACTTGAAATACCACTGGAATGAACTTGTAGGTGACAGATCATAGCTACGAATCAGTTTTTTTAAGCATTTAAAGGTTAATAGCATGACACTGATCAAATAGAATGTTGCACCTCTGCGGAACACACTGGTACAGACTTAATGCAGTAAGCACAAAATGGATGTTTAGAGGCACTTACTAGAGCTGCTTTCACTGTCACTGGTGTTGGACGTCAAGCATTCTGTGGATATAAGATGAGTGAAGTTTAGAAATGTCACAATGCTCATTTTCGCCCATATGTAAGATTAATAGTATATCCAGCACAGCTCGGAATGAAACTATACACCCTCCCGTACCATCATGCCAAGAATAGAAAAGGCTGAGTGAAGAGAGGAAAACAAACAGAGAGAACTTTTGGGCACTTAAATGGCTGCCGTTTCCTTAGAAGGGAAATGGTAGGATGAGGCAGCAATAGGAAATTAAGTATTTCCTTTTCCTACGACCCTAGTGATCTTAGATTCCGTGCTGAGCGTTTCCTATGACCTTGCCAGTGTCCGGTTCATCAGACAGTGATACTGCTCCTCGTGCCAAAGTAAACAAGCCAGTGTTGGATTCCTTACAGGAATCAAATTACAAACATCCCTTAGATACAGTGACAACATTATTAAAACATTAAAAACACACTCAATCCAGCCTAGTATGAGCTGGCTTTAAAGACACTATGGGACCTCAAGAGGTCTACCGTGGATTCACTCTCCCTTCAGTGTATCATATGGCAATCAGATCTTTGATTTAAGAATATTTGTGTGTGAATGATATGTGTTTAAAAATGGTCCCTTTCGGGTAATGGTTTGTGAGTCTCTTGTTGTGAATTCTTTACTGATTTTTATAAAGTAAACATAAGAATAACTTATATTTTTAGTAATTTTTTAAGATGAACATTTACTGGACAGAAGCAACTTAGGTTTACATGATTATACATTGACTACACAGCTTTGATCATAAAACTAAGCAAATATCATCCTCTTAAAATTATTAGGAGAGAGAGAGAGAGTGACTATTTATTTTGCATTTTATGTAAGTAGTCTGTTATAAAGATATTGATTTACATTATAAGCTATTAGAATTTTTATCTTGCCTTTTTGGTCATAAATATCAGCATCTGCACCAAATTGCATTATTTTTACATATTTTACTCCTCGTGTATGAGCTACCCATTTTCACTATATATACTGTGGAGTCAGAACCCTCGTCACAAGCTCATACTCACGTTCAGTCTCCACCAACTCCTGCACTATATTCTCCTTGCTCTTGTAAAACGGGAACTTGCGTGATAGGTTGAAGCTTTTTTTGCGCTTCACTTTGACTGGCTGCGTGGACACGTATGTGCGCTGTGAGACACACGTGTGCATTGCTTGACTTGTGTTTCCACTCACTGTTTCAGTGTTGTCCTGAAGCACGGCTGTGGTTAAATGCATCTCCGAATACTTTTATGATACGGAATTGATGTAGGCCTAAACACAGTCAGTTATGTTTTCAGAACAGGACAAAACATCTGACATGTCAAAATAGATCTGTGCATTAGTGTGAATGCAGCCTATTAACCTGTGTCTATGATCTCATCAGTAATCAAACAGCAATAATGCGGAGGAAAAAAGAAAAACCCAGAAGTACTTTTTGTTTATCACTTGTAATTGTTCTTTTCCCCCTTTAATACTTTATATTTGCTTGTATGTTTTGAAGCTATATTTAGTTGGTTACATTTTTTAAGTTTTTTATTTATTTATTATTAATTATTTTAAAAAGTAGCCTGCTTATATAATCGAATAAAAATTCACAAAATAAATTTGATATAATCGTGATGCATCGTGATACTGAATCTAATCGTTGACATGATAATCGTAATCGGATCGCATTGTGAAACCAGTGATGATTCACACCCTTGCCGTAGACGCTCTTACTACTGCGCACATTTTTTTATATGTTTGCCTCCCAGTAAAGAAATAAAAAATAAATAAAATCAAGAGCCAGATCACATAAACTGTTAAGACTGGCTACTGTAATATCAGTCAGGTAAGATAACTCAGCTTCATTCCTGCACTCAATTACATAATGTTTTAATTACATATGTACCTTTACGAAAATTAAAGTTAAAAAGTAACCAAAAATTAACCATAAATTTGCAATATACTAGCCATTGCTGAACTATGGTATTTGTAGTAAAACTGGTTATACTAATGGTAATCAATCCAAATGACTACAAAACTGACCCTCCCACATCTGTTATAAACACAGAGATATTAGTCCCGTCTGAATTGGTACATGAAAATCAGAGACATCAGGTGATAAGAATCGAAACTCCAACGTAGTTTAGAAAACTAGTCCCATCCGAATAGGGCTAGTGAGCACTTTTTTTTATTAATGAGCAGAGAAGTTAAATCAGGTGAGGGAAACATCAGAACTGTGAAGTATTGGGGGGGCCTCCAGGACCAGAACTGAGAAGAATTGATCTAATCATCATAGCTGATTATGATGGCACAGTGCATGTTTGTAATTGTATGCTTTGTTTGTGTGGCTGTGAGAAATGAGATGCTCAGTAACAGGAGCCTCCAGGATACTATGAGAAGCCACCAATTCCCACACTCAGGGGAAGTGGGGCAGCTCCCATGAGCCGTTCACAGGAGGAGGAGGACGACTCACTCACCCTGTTGGACTCAATCATGCCCGTCCTTGCGTGGAACTTGACTGTTTTTAACCGTGCACGCTCTTTCTTTTCCACTCTGTGGATAAAAAAAAATAAAAAATTTGTATGATTGGCAATGAACACTCAATTACTACAGGGGAAATGCTGTAATTCTGTCTGGGCTTGTTGGCAGTACTGTACCTTTTCTTGCTTGGTATGACCCCAATTTGCTCACTCTCCCCATGGGGTGTAACCAGCCGTGCCTGCCACCACTCATCATCGGAGGCATTGATGACATGCAGGATGTCCCCATAGGAGAAACTCAGGCCCTGGCTAGGGAGGCAACTGTCCCTTGTCCTGTCGTAGTCAAAAAGAGCCCTGGGAAAACCAAACCAAACAATACATACATCAACAGTGTGCTGGAAGAGTGGGTATTCAGGTTTCATTGTAAAACATCTGTTGTGCTTGATTAAAGGATGGGTGTGGGAATACACAGACAACAGTACATCATTAGACATCTGCACCTATTTGTTGTTTAAATTTGTTTAGCAGATGCTTTCTCACTAAAAGCAACTTACAATACACTTCCTACCATGGGCATAGCAACCACTTTAGAAAAAAATATATATGTACATCCTTCTACATTTTGCAAGATTATTTTCAATTTACAGCACTGTTCGGGCAATTTTTTAATTGTTTTTGAAAGTCTCTTATGCTCACCAAGGCTGCATGTAATTGAGAAAAAAAAACATAATACTGTTACATTTTATCACAATTTAGAAGAATAACTATTTTTATTAGGGATGCACCGATATGAAAATTTTGGACACCCTTGCCGTAGACGCTCTTACTACTGCGCACATTTTTTTATATGTTTGCCTCCCAGTAAAGAAATAAAAAATAAATAAAATCAAGAGCCAGATCACATAAACTGTTAAGACTGGCTACTGTAATATCAGTCAGGTAAGATAACTCAGCTTCATTCCTGCACTCAATTACATAATGTTTTAATTACATATGTACCTTTACGAAAATTAAAGTTAAAAAGTAACCAAAAATTAACCATAAATTTGCAATATACTAGCCATTGCTGAACTATGGTATTTGTAGTAAAACTGGTTATACTAATGGTAATCAATCCAAATGACTACAAAACTGACCCTCCCACATCTGTTATAAACACAGAGATATTAGTCCCGTCTGAATTGGTACATGAAAATCAGAGACATCAGGTGATAAGAATCGAAACTCCAACGTAGTTTAGAAAACTAGTCCCATCCGAATAGGGCTAGTGAGCACTTTTTTTTTATTAATGAGCAGAGAAGTTAAATCAGGTGAGGGAAACATCAGAACTGTGAAGTATTGGGGGGGCCTCCAGGACCAGAACTGAGAAGAATTGATCTAATCATCATAGCTGATTATGATGGCACAGTGCATGTTTGTAATTGTATGCTTTGTTTGTGTGGCTGTGAGAAATGAGATGCTCAGTAACAGGAGCCTCCAGGATACTATGAGAAGCCACCAATTCCCACACTCAGGGGAAGTGGGGCAGCTCCCATGAGCCGTTCACAGGAGGAGGAGGACGACTCACTCACCCTGTTGGACTCAATCATGCCCGTCCTTGCGTGGAACTTGACTGTTTTTAACCGTGCACGCTCTTTCTTTTCCACTCTGTGGATAAAAAAAAATAAAAAATTTGTATGATTGGCAATGAACACTCAATTACTACAGGGGAAATGCTGTAATTCTGTCTGGGCTTGTTGGCAGTACTGTACCTTTTCTTGCTTGGTATGACCCCAATTTGCTCACTCTCCCCATGGGGTGTAACCAGCCGTGCCTGCCACCACTCATCATCGGAGGCATTGATGACATGCAGGATGTCCCCATAGGAGAAACTCAGGCCCTGGCTAGGGAGGCAACTGTCCCTTGTCCTGTCGTAGTCAAAAAGAGCCCTGGGAAAACCAAACCAAACAATACATACATCAACAGTGTGCTGGAAGAGTGGGTATTCAGGTTTCATTGTAAAACATCTGTTGTGCTTGATTAAAGGATGGGTGTGGGAATACACAGACAACAGTACATCATTAGACATCTGCACCTATTTGTTGTTTAAATTTGTTTAGCAGATGCTTTCTCACTAAAAGCAACTTACAATACACTTCCTACCATGGGCATAGCAACCACTTTAGAAAAAAATATATATGTACATCCTTCTACATTTTGCAAGATTATTTTCAATTTACAGCACTGTTCGGGCAATTTTTTTATTGTTTTTGAAAGTCTCTTATGCTCACCAAGGCTGCATGTAATTGAGAAAAAAAAAACATAATACTGTTACATTTTATCACAATTTAGAAGAATAACTATTTTTATATTTTTATAATGCAATTTATTACTGTGATGGCAAAACTGAATTTTCAGCAACCACCACTCAAGTCTTCAGCATCACATGATCCTTCAGAAATCATTCTAATATACTGATTTCATGCTTGAGAAACATTTCTTATTATCAAAGTTGTAAGCAGTTGAGATGCCTAATATTTTCGTGGAAACATTTTGTGGAAACAGTGATACATTTTATATTCTTTGATGAACAGAAGAGCATTTATTTGAAATTTAAATATTTTGTAGCATTATAAATGTTATTTTGTAACATTTTTAAAATATTTACTATCTCTTGATTAATTGAATGTGTCATTGTTGAATAAAAGTAAATCTATTGGGCAAATGTCCCCCCATTTTTCTTATCGTTGCTACATCCCTGCACAGTCAGTCCCCCGGATTAACCTGGGGTTAAGCACAGAAGGGCACAATAGTGATAGATCCACATAAAATCATGAGAGAAACCAGATGGCAGATGACGTTGAGTACAGAAACACAGTCAGGCATTGTGTTCTAAGCTGAATGTTTTTACCTTGACAGACAGGTAAATCCAAATGAAAGGAGGAAAACCAGTGGAGCAAGTCTTCCTGTTTTTCTACATACCTTTCTCCTAGGACACACTAATTACCAGCCCACAGAGACACACACGCATAATTTGCTGCACAGCTAAATTGAGGACAACATCAGGACTCTGTTTTAAGATGGAGCAGTGCAGGGTGGGATCAACACTGACTGACACGCCTATACCATTCTGACACACTTGTATCTCATCACTGCATTCGTAGGAATGTGAAAACGCCTTGAGATCTCCCACTTAACATTAACACGTGTGGTCAGCTGACTCATGAACCCGCAGCAGCTGAACGCTGCGTTAAGCACAGCTCACCTTAGGTGCAAGCGAGAGGTCTGCGTGGGACCATTTTTTTAGTCCCGCTCCCGCAAGGTTATATTCCACACCCACCTGCTCCCACTATATAGTCACTCTTTGTTTACCCACTGTCCGCTTAGAATAATTTTCTTCCCGACCCGACCGTTCCCACTAAATTTAGATCTCATTTCCAGAGCTCACATTTAAATTTCCGCTACTGAAAGAAAGAGAGATAGGCAAACAAATAAAAGTGTAGTCTGCACAAAATTGTAGGCTATTTTATTCGTCTTGTGAAGAGTCTTGAATTTATTGACTTGAATTTATATTAATTATCTTAAGACACAAAATTCGTTTAATATTTTATGCAACACGGTAGGAAAAAAGTGTCAGCAAAAATAAAAATTTAGTTTTTTTATTATTAAATTTCTTATTTTTATTCATCTTGTCAGGATACAATTCGTTTAACATTTACAACACAATAGGAAAAAGTGTCGCAAAGAGAAAAAAAATAAAAATGTAGGTTGTACAAAAGTAGCCTATAAGCTATTTTTATTCGTCTTGTCAAAATACTAAATTCGTTTGACATTTTTCTGTTAACACGGTAGGAAAGTCGCAGAGAAAAATAAATATGACATCTGTCATTTAAAATTATAGGCTAAGCAAAATATAAACAAAACCGAGTTGAGCATCCACACTTTGCTCCATCCTTATTCTGCTCTGTCACTCATCGACAACCTGCCTGTTCTGTCTGAGGATAGTATATTTACCACCGGCACAGCCTGCTCTGAGCATCGTTATGTACATGCTGCGCACAGACCCCGCAAATAAACCAAGTAGAAAGCATGCGTGCAGTGTGTGCATAACAGTTCCGAGTGCAGGCTGTACCGGTGGACAGTAAGAATAAAGCGCAGATATGCTGTTCTGAATGGACGTCGGGAACGGGATATTGTTAGACCGCCCGCTCCCGTTCAAATTACACCAGAGTTACCAACCGCTACTGCATTTTATTCGGGAATTTAATCCCGCGGCGCAAAAAATCTGGTCGGGAATGCAGACCTCTAGTGCAAGCCATCGTCAGGAGGCCACACATTCATTAGGTGGATTATATATTTATTATGCACATAACTATACTTACTACGTAATATGGAAAGTTAAAACTATTATCAGACATTGATATAATTTCTTTTATACCAATAATATTATCCAGGCATTTTAGGATATCTTTGTACTAGTGTTGTCAAAAGACCCGATATTTCTGTACCAAGTCGGTACTAAAAACATTTAAATCTTATGGTACCTGGTTTTCTTAAGTATCGGTGGTACGAGTACCCGGTTCTTGATGCGCTATTCGAACGCTATCATCTTCGTAAAAGACTTCGCATCAAACTAACAAAACACCTTAATGACCGACACCCCGATCAAACAAAAGAGTTCAAGCAGGTAAGTTTCAATTAAATTTTTTATATCTATAGCTTCTGTTATGAATATTATTCCATATTTTAATTAGAATGTCGGATTGAAATAAACATCGCTGTTAGCATATACGTAGTTAATCGTAAGCATAAGCATGGCTAACGCTAATATAATGAGCATTAAAATTAAGTTTTTAATGCTCCTATAACTTTTATTAGTGTAAAAAACAGGAAGACAATGATATTTACTATTTGTACACACCAGAGGCTTTTAAATGGACTGTTTATCCAAAATATGCGTTAGAGAATGTACAAATATATGGTTAACAGTTTTTAAGCCCTATCAGTCCATCAGAAAAACAGTTCTGGGCTTTTTTTTTTTTTTTAGTTAGTTAGTTGCTATTCTTGGTTGAATAACTCTAGCAGGTTTTTAAAGCCCTTTAAAATTAAATATGAACACAGTTTGGATTAAAAGTACAGTGAAATTTTGATCTCCTGTATAGACTTTACAATGACTTCATGTTATCTGACATCAGTTAGATCTAGTAACATCTTACAGTGAGTGAACAATATATTTTTTACAACATTCATTAATGTTTGTGAATGTACAAACACTTGATCATTCATGTTTGTTCATTGTGCATTAAATAATTTTAACAGATTGAACTTGATTTATGTATTAGTAAATTTTGAAATTAACCCCAAGAAGAATAATTGCTATATAACTATTGTTTATTGTTAGGTCATGTTATCTAAATAATGGAATCTTATTGTAAATAGTTTTTAATACTACAGTTTCCATCTATTTGATATACACTTAATGTAGTCTTATCTAAATGTATTATAAAAGCTGAGGTTTAATCTTTACTGGAAAGTTATATTTTAGCTGGTGTCAATGATCTAATGTTGCATTTGGTCAGACTCAGCCCATTGCTTTACTTAAGTATATTATATTTTCCTTTTACAGCTGCAGACTGAGGAAGATCATGAAACACAACAGCAAACTCTAAAACAGACAACAGTTTACAGATGTTTTTCAGTGGCAGCAAAAATATGACAAAAACTTTTGGGTGAAACTTGTTTACTTTTTTCATACTTTTATTACTTGTGGAAAAACTTGAAACTATTTTAAGTAAGTATAAAGAATGGCATTGGTTTTGTACATTAAATTTTTGTTTAACGTTATTAATAAAAAATAATGTTGTTAAATTAGCATGTTTTTGTGTTTTGCTTTGGTACCGAGAACCGTGGATTTGCACTGGTATTGGTACCGAATACTGAAATTTTGTGACACCACTACTTTGTACAACAAAAATGATTACAGTCCTTTATAAAGCTTTAAATTCCATTGCAAACAAAATTGCATGTGTTGACAAAAATGTATAATTGAACACTTTTTAGCAATAAATGGTGCCTCATTGGTATTAAATGCAAGAAAACTGATACTCAACTGCTGAAAACATGCCTTGATTATTTTAACTAGAATTTGACTTGTATTGACTCTGTTTGATCGATGTGAAGATTCCTCTGATTGAAAAAGCACTCTTATAAACTTTGAGATATCTACCAAATATCAGTAGAACTGAATGAAAGAATTCAAGGATGAAGAGGATACCTGACGTAGAGGGAGCGTTTCTCACTGGTGCGGAGGGAGCCGGAGCCAGAGCTCATGCTGCTGTTCATCATCTGCTCCCTCAAGTCGTGGATCTTGGACTCAAAACGACTGTATTCTGGAAAGAGACAAGGCACACAATACGTCAGCAACACCTATATTTACAGTGATATTCCGGGCTTTGCTCCAGGTTTTATGAGTGGAGGTGCTTGAAGCGCAGGGCAGAGAAGGAAAGCTCAGCAGCTTATTGAGAACGGATTAATGACCTGGAGAACAGATGGATATTAATCATGTATCTGCATGAGCTATACGCTAATATCTCCTGCCAGATAATTAATTATGCATATTAATTAAGTAGAACATGCACTATTCGTATTCAGTATAAAGGAATGAAAACCTCCAACAAACGTCGGGACCATAATCATTTTTCACAGTGAACAAGGCTCTCGTTTTAGGGAGCAGCACTGAAGCATGATGGCTGATTGTTCGGCAGACTTTTAATTAAACGTGTACACCTCTGCTGCAGTGTGGTCGGGCAACTCACAAGCTTAGCAACCGAATTACACACTGAAATGCACGAGCAAACAAGGATAACGCATAGCCAAGGAAGGACTATTGTTTTCTTAAGCACTGGGATTTACCTTGTAAGTCCAATATAGATCATCCATAACAAAGACTTTATGATTTTTAACCTGCTCCGTAACCTTGTATCCAAGGATCAAAAGTCTACCTTCCAAATCTTCCAAAAAACAGAACCTGAGGCAGGAATTTTAATTTTTATGAGAATATGAGAACTTGAAAACTCAATGGCAGTAACTCCAAGTCTAAAGCTCAACGCAAAGTCGAAACTTGGACTTCATTGTCAGCAGAAACTGCGCCTGCAGGGAGCTCTTCTGTAAACGCCCTGTCTATCACAAACGGGTTAACAACATGCTGGAATGACAGGGCAAGGTAAAGTAACCTGACACCACCTGCCTGTAACCAGGGGAACACCCCAGCAGAGAGGTGGAAGGAAATGGCTTGACAAACTTCTTGAAAAAACAATTATAGCAAAAAAAGAGAAGCTAAATGTACTGCATTAGAGAGAACCTTGTTTGCAATATAAAGCTTAGTATTCCAATTAGACATCAGTAGCTTCACATCCACTGCACTCATCTGATAAAGAATAAAGCAGAAAGTAAATTCACTCCACTGGTCAGACACTCTACGGGTAATACAATACACATATGACAGACGACACAGACAGCTGGGTCCTCTCAGCCTGTCAGACACACGGTTCACAACATTCAAAGGCTAATGCTAAAGCGCAAGGTCTTCGTTGTGACCAGTCAACACAAGATCTGGGGAGAATCTGGGCCAGCTCTGCCTCACATTCACATGGCCTCACTTGCCTTCATTATGTGCAGGGCTTTTATTTTTGGGGAGTGGGGATTGGCTGCAGGCTGACTCTTTATCAATGCAGTTACATAATATTGCAGCCATGTGCTTTCAATGTGAAAGCATGTATAGGCACTAGGTTATGATTAGTACAGCCCTCTTAACAGGCATGCAAATTAGTACCACAAACAGATTTTCTTTACTGAGTTCTGATTATTTTAACTGATTTCTGAATTAATGAGCAATATGTAACATCTCGCAATTCCATGCGAAAAGACATTTTAGTATAATGATGTACAATGTGAAAAAAATGCATATTTCTTTTTGTGATTTGCTAAAGACTAGATTTAACTGTCATTAAAAATTATTAGTTTTTGAAGATTACCTTAAGTGAGCATTAGATGACAGCAAAGTCGACCACTACTGGTCGATATACAACCAATACTCATAAATAAAATAATAAAATGTATAATATCAGTCAGTAGCCAGTATAGTTCAGACATACTATACATCCTTAAAAATGTATATATATAATAGACATACTATACATTTCTAAAAAAACATTTTTTTTTTTTTATTAAATAAAAATAACATACCGGGGAAAAAATAACTAAACTGCATGAAACAATTTTATTATGCCAAAAAACAAAAACTTGTTTGAAAAAGTGAATTTTTTTGTTTAGAATTTTCATCCTTATTTTGGTGTCCAGATTCTTTAATGTATTTTTTTTTTTAACATGGAGCTATAACAGCTATTTTGCAAATGAACAAGTTTCAGTTGGTCTTAGTGTTCCAGTGCATTATGTATCGATTAGATAAAGATGCAACCTGAAGTAGTGACAATCTTTTCTGCATCGTTACGTACATTCAAATTAAATGAATTATTGAAAAGAAAAACAAATGCAGACTGGGGACTTCAATCTACTCACTGGTTGTTGATTGGATGGAGGCAGATCTGAATGTGAGGTTACAGCTGATTGTAAGAAAGGGGTGGCGTTAAGTGGAGGAAATGATTGGATAAGTCCGTCATTTCACCGCCAGATTGATTTATAACATTCATTAAAATGTACAAGGTCAAAAAATTAAGTTTGCAATCAGATCAATAGCATGAAATTTGAAAATATATCGGGCATATTTCCTTTTAATGGTTTAAAATATATAAGGTGTAATTTATGTGCTTAACATGGAATGCAAGGCCAAATAAGAAAATGTGTTGTGAACGTTTGTCCCTGCTAGAAACAAATGCAGTTCAAGTTCACTCACTGTCCCCTAAGTTAATGTATGACAAGAGGTGTTCAAATTTTAACAGAAGCCAGTCTACAAATAGACTCTGTCCCTTTCTTACACACACACACACACACACACTCAAGTAAGAAGCCATAATGTCTCTTATATTTCTGGTTCCCACCTAATTCAATGAGCTATTCTGGCACAAATTAACGTGTCACTTCTATTTCTATGTAGACGTAAGAGCCCTTGGGAGGGAGAGGCAGGCCATTTATACTCCAGGAGCATCTGACTAAGGAGGAATATGGGGGAGAGCATGCCGAAACAGATAACTTACACAGCAACATTCCTGTCATTGCTCACATAGAGACCAGAGAATGAACTATGCACTGACATACTAAATATTAGTTACAGTGGTTATTAATGCACTTCAAATCTTGTCAAGGACTATAATTGATTTCCTATCCTCTGTGCCAGTCAAATGAATCCACGTTTTCTGATTAGTGTTTACAGCTAGTTAACACCATCTTTGACACATGATGTTTTTGGTCTAGAGAAATTATTTGAAAGTGTCAAATCATAATAAAGCAGCAACAACACATTTAACATAAGATAAACAATATTACAAAGTTTTGTGTTGTAGTTTTCACTGAACTACAAAATGACAGTAATGTTTAGCATTTTTAGGTTAAGTGACTTCCTGAATGGGGGCCCTTCCCTGCACCTGTCCTCCTGATCTCTGCAGGAAGCTCCATATAATAACGCATTGAACAAACATGACGAAGAAACGTCAGGCCTCAAAGAGCAAACATCCCGGATCATTCTGACACAACTGAAGCTCAGTTCAAAGGTGAACTACCCTACTCTTCTTACTGAATGAAAGCATAATATTGCTTATGATAATATAAAATATTTAGCACTAAATGACTCACTGCTGCCTTCTGTCGTGTTTATGGTTTGAATATAAAACATTTCTCGAGAAATCCTCGAGCAAACAGTTTACGTTACCTGTGTCGCGCAGCAACACAAACCTTCACCGACTTTAAACATATTAGGCTACAAACAACCTTCATGAAGTCAGCCCAACGGCTGAGCAACTTCAGAAGTTCTTTTCATGACTTTTATTCATCTTTAAACGCACTACACTATGTTGAACATGTAACTCGAGACAACAGAAATCCATTGTGAACACAAACAGCGACGCTTTCCCTTTTCAGCACAGCATATTGAAGCACATAAAGCAATTCTACTGCCAGTTTAACCTATATGCGGTCTCCTCTCCTCAGCTCTCCGCTCAGGTCGGCTGGCCCACCTGCCAAAATGAAAGACACGAAGATGCCCTCTCCATCCTCACCGCCCACAATGTTGAATCCCAAACCTGTGGAACCCTTGTGCAGCAGGATCTTCCGCGGCTCCCTGCCAAGCAGAACGACAGTGTTAAAGATCAGGATGGACTCGGACCACCACAGCAGCAGGGAGAGGATGAAAGACAAGACATATATTTGCAATAAAAAAAGAAATACAGTGGAAAAACCACATTAAGAAGTTTGATAGTGGGATGGTTTTTAGACATGTTTCAAAAATATTCACAAAGCTTCATTCATCCCAGACTGCAGCACAAAAGAATGAGAATTCAGATTTCAAAGGAACAATAATAATGTTTCAGTAAATTATTATTTTGCATTTCGTTTTCCCCTTGTCGTTTACAGAGAGAGGAAATCGAGATGAACAGATTCATGAGAGCACACAAAGCTCTAGTCACGACTAGAGGAGACTGGCAAACTTTCATCCACAACAAAGCTAAACAGCAAGTGCTCCAGATTTGTTCCAGAAATGAGCGCTAACACATACACACCGATAACTAACACACTTTCACACTCTGTCACAAAACGCGTTCACACATTGAGCTCATCCCTGCCTTGTGCAGGACTGCGGTACTGTTTTAGCAGCCATGATTCATCAGCAGGCAGCAGGCAGCAGGCAGAGAGGCATTCCAGACTGCCCAGTTCTGGCACACCAGCAAGACTCAACTACATTCAGCGGTCGTCAAAACCCCTTTCCGAATGTACTGCAGAATAACACACAAAAACCAGTTCCCTAAAATGCAACACATCCACGTTTGTAGTGACAGCTCCCAGCTTTCAGCAGTGCAGTACGCATGTTTCTCATTAGAATTCTGCACTACCACAGAACTCGGCAGGCTCTCGACATGAGCCATTCCACCTCCATTGCCCATGGTACAGCTTTATGATGCTGAAAACAGCACTTTTATGTGAGCGGATGACTTGTGCTTTTAGGAAGTGTTTGTGCATATATGAAACGTACATAATGAACATATAGACAGGAGTGTGAATCAATTTACTGAGAACCTTATGTCCATAAATTTAATGAAGGTGGTAAACAGATTTTAATCACCTTTTTTTACCTCCATTTATTACATGACACACTGTAAAACCATGGCCTCCACAACAGCTCCCTGCCTTCTGCCTCTCTGATGAATCTTTTGTACACATTGTTGTTTTTTTAGTTCCTCTCTATTGCAGTCCGTCCCTGCTGTAAGCTGACAAATTGAAAATGCTCTCACACACACATACATGCTAAACATCTGTGAAAACCTGGATTACCTGGAAATACTGGAACCAGAATGAATTTCATTTGGTTATCCTTTTTTGAACATGCAATGTAGAGGTTGATACTTTACAAACAAACATTATAATTAACCTGTTAAAACCCTGAAGAAATACCAGACAGGGTTGTAAATAATTCGAAAAATGCAAATGTTTGCACCCTTGTAGTTCAAGAAATTGAATTTCCACAGAAAACTGAAATGAAATGAAGATGAATTTAAATGCAATTGGCAATGGGTTCCGGCAAATGAAGTGTTGTACTACCCTGCTACTACCATCAGGCATACAAACCTTCAAAGCTTTCTTCAAGAAAACTTTGTCAAGGCAAGGCCAGGCATTTTTATTTCTAAAGCACATTTAAAAACGTAAAACGATCAAATACACACTAAAAGAAAATACAATACAATAAAACAGATAAACTAAACTAAACTAAACTAACTCAAGCCAATATTCAAAGTTTGTTTTCACAAACATTGCTTCTATAAAGCATTCTATTCTATACATTCTAGCTATAAAAAAAGTCATATGAAAATTTCTTTGAGTTTCCTTAAATTCAAATTTCAATTCTATGTTTGCTACCTCAATTTAAATTTAATTCATTTCTGAATGGCACACAACCTGGATACCAAATGCTTTGTTGATTAAACACTAAGATCAGGTTGATTAAATAATAATCAGAAGTAATAAAATGAATGAAAACAGAGGCATATTAAACTGATTTTATGTGAACGGAGTTAATTAAAGGCAATTATTATTAATGTCTAGATCAAACACTTATTAGGTCTAGTAATAAATGTGTGTACTAAATTAAGAGAACATATGCTTTTATTAAAAAGATGGGAGATTAGTACTAAGAATTTATTTCATTTATTGCATTTATTTGAATTATTTTGTAACATTACAAATGCATTTTTATCAGTTCAGTGCATCCTTATTGAATAAAAGTATTCATTTCTTAAAAACATTCATTCTCAGTGAACCCAAATTTTTGAATTGTGTATATTCATTATATATTATAGAGAGATGTGAATAAATAAGTTTACAGCTGCTCTCCTGCATGAAACTGATCTTAACAATGAACGTTCCCATGGTGCACTGCTTCACTTGCAAGACAAAAAATGTAAATTCAATTTTAAAACTGTCAAAACTTTTCAATCATCCATTCTTGAATACTTATTACATACATATTTAAATATACAAATAATTTTATTTAATGACTTTTATGTATTGAGTTATTTAATTTATACTGTATATCTATTATAGTTTGCAACATAAAACATAACCAGATAAACTGCAATGCACAGCTTTTCAACTCTACATCTGCTTACAAATTTGATTAACCAAGCAGTACGTGACTAATAATAAAGGTTACTAATCCCCTAGTGTGGAATTTACCTCCCAAATAAAGACCATGCAAATGGTTGGTGCACCTCTACCCTTCATCTAATCATTCCCCCCCCTCAAAATTCCCAACCTGTATTTATCCGGCTTCATATTCACCCTGTTGTGCATGTGGCACTCTTTAGTCATGAAATACATCAAGTCTCACCAAGTGATGTAATGCACTGAATGGAAAAACAATCTCCATGAGTATGTGTGTGTGTGTGTGTGTGTGTGTGTGTTTGGGCTGCATGTCAAAGGGAGTGTGTGTTCATGTCAGCACATTATGACAGACTGTCTAAGTGTATCTCTGTGTATGATGGGCATTGGCAGAGCACCCTGTGTGTGTGTGTGAGTGTGTGTTTGTGGCCTGCTTTCCCCCATTCAAATTAATCATGACAGCTTCAGGAATGTGCGCCACTATTCATTTGTAGTCTGACTGCAAGAATCAGCCTCTCACTTCCCAATACATTTATGGTAAGAGCAGGCCCTACTGTTTATATTTACATAACTGCAACAGAAGCCAAACATTCCTGTGTTGGAAGGTTCCATGAGTGTGTATTTATGTGTTTGGAGAATAATGAATATTTTGTGACTACTTCAGTCACACCTACGGTAATGTAACTATACATGCTGATGATGAGCATACAAACATACACGTGCAGGAGGACAGAATTTTTATATACATTCATAATCACACACACACACACACACACACACACACACACACATCCTTGTGGAAGAATAGCTCTGCATATAATCAAGTATCCTTCATATTGTGTTGAATGTTGTTCTAGTTTTTTTAGCACATTTCTATGCACTTGTATGGGTGCTGCTAGTGATCTCTGGATCAAAAAAAAAGCATAGTGTCTGTGATGGTCTCTATATGGCTCTAGTATTTTAATGTAAGCATATGGATTCTACCAGACCTAAATTGTAGGTTTATCTGTTAATAGTGCATACTTTTCAATAAACTGCATGATCGGTGGTATCGACAAGTGAGCTGCTGACGAGTTATGTGCTAAAGGTTAATATTAGGTTAATATTACTACTTACTTATAAGGCCCTTAACGGTCTAGCTCCTGTATACCTAACTAGTCTTCTATCACGCTACAATCTATCACGCTCCCAATCAATAACCTACTCCTAAATGCAATGTAGAAACTTAATATTTTCTGTAAAGCTGCTTTGCAATGATTGGTATCGTGAAAAGCACTATACAAATAAACCTGAATTGAATTGAACTGAATAGTGGTATGTAAAGTGGATGACCCATCCCAGACAGCCAGTAACAGTACATCACTCAGACTAAGACTGCGTCAGAGAGCACACACCAAACACCAGGATATTATATGGGCTGGTAAAGGAGGATGGCTTAGACTCACATATTATCTGGGATTATACATATGTACAAAATTGGCAGGGTATGAATTAGGGGGAGTTTGGGGGTGTTGAACACTCTACTGATTTGACAAATAAAGTCAAAACAAAAGGCTGCAGGCTTCTTAAGTATATTTTAATAGCATTTTCAAAGTTTCAATAACCTAAAAAAAAATGTGTATGTATGCGTTAAATAGTTGCATTTTCCCTAAAGAGAAAACAATAGTGGGCTACCTGAGTGCTTTGCTTTGGGATCATTATGGAATGATACCTCATGCTTAATTAGTGGCAATATTTATCACTTTATTGTAGATTTACATGTCACAAACTCATCATAAAAACCTTTACTCTTCTGAATAAAATGTCTTTAAGATGCTATGTTAGTAGCAGCAAAAGACTATTTACTTTAGGTTGGGCAAGATTAAAGAGACAGTCTAAAAAAGCTAAAAAAATAAATAAAAAAAAGGAAATTTCTGCCATCATTTACTCACAATATATGACTTTCATCTGTGGAACGCAAAAAAAAAGATATTTTGAAAGACTTTCACTGTATAGGTAATTTTTTTTAATATCTTCATAGTGACAAGTCATACAGGTTTGAAAGGACATGAGGGTGAGGAAATGATGACAGAAATTCATTTTTGAATTATATCTCTTGAAACTATGTCTTTAAACCTGAACCGTCTGTGTTCCAAAAGTAGCCTCCTGTTTAATTTGAACACTGAGAATGCGACAGACACGACTAGACCGGGGTAAAAAGTTGAAAGCCCTCATTAATTTGTGACTCTTTTGACTCTAAAGGTGCCTAAAGGTCTGTTTACACCAAGACACATATCCAGTGTGAAAATTTGGTGCGATAAACATTTTAAATTGAATGAATGTTAATGTGTCTGTTCAGACCGCCACAAACATTTGCATGTCATCAATGCGACTGATTTTATTTACATTTCATCTCACAGTGAATAAAACTGGCCATCCAATAGGATTTTTCTATAATTTGTGCACGAGTGCATTTGAAAAGTGACATCTGAGTTAGTGACAGGGTTCCCACTTTCACTTTTTGAATCGATTTCCATGATTATTTTTCAGTTATATTCCAGGAAATGTTGATTATTTTATAGATTGTACTCATAATTTCTAGCTGGTATTTTAGAGCCAGAGTATTAAAAAAGATTATATTTGTTGTAGAAATTTCCTTGTATGATTTTTACAGGTACAGAAATGTTTAAAAAATCCCCTGATATTTCCAGTTTTTTTTCCAGGACTGAAGAAGTGATTGACCGTGAGTGATTAGATGAATCCATATACAGTTACATAGCGCATTGTGTCACAGAATAACTAAGGCTAACTTGGTGCCACCTACTGTTAGAACGTAAATCTACATTTGCATTTAACCCATCTCCTCTCCTTTACGCATTGGTCTTAACAGACATATCGTATGCGAAAATCGGACTTAATTTTTCTGCCAAACATTTGTGTCGGTGTGAACAGGCCTTAAAGGTCCCCTGAAGTGCCTTGAAACACACAGCTTTATTCTATGTGGTGACGTAATTTCACCTGAAACAGGAAGACAGGGCGGGACATATCGAGCAGCCCCGCCCCTTTTTAAAATAAGCCAATAGCGATTTGTTTATATCTGCAGGGGTCACTCAGAGCCGTTAAGCTCGGTAAAGCCGCATTTGACAGCCACAGTCTAATAGATTACCCCCCTAGATTCAATATGAAACTCTTAGTAAAATAAAAGTGATCATAAATATGCTGAGGCTGTGTAGTTTTAAAAGTGTTTAATATATGCCGACTCGCGCATATGATCCACTCCGTGCGATCGCGTCTCTGGACCGGAGCCAAAGTCAGACTGAGCGCTGCTGCGGTTCGCGTGACACAACGTGAAATCAGACCTCATTTGCCCCAATCTAAAGCATATTTACACTATCTGAATCGTTCCCTATCGCCTACATTGTGCACTACGTGCCATTCACTGTACAGGAAATACTACACTGTGAACAAGTGACTGATCTCAGCTGCAGCTTCAGCGTCTATTTACAGTGTAGGGGGCGGGCGCTTCGGCTTCTAGAGAGCGTTTGATTGGTCAGAAGATTTGATGAGAAGATGAAGTACGATGTGACGTCAAAAAAAAATCGTTGAGCCGTTTTGGCGGAAGTGACGAACTAAAAGCTTTGAATGATTATATTTTCAGAATTTTGTCGCTGTTTTGGAGCACACTGCCTTATAGATAACCGTAAGACTAACATATTGATACTAACACCCAAAAAACTTTACTTTTGATTTCATGGGGACTTTAAGGATTTTAATACCACAAGCTAACAACGTGCTTCATCTCCTCTACATTGTAAAGGAGTACGCGGCTCGAGGCAGGGAGCAGTTTCGCCTCAAGGCGTTACCTGTGTCACGCTGCAGGTTGGGGGAAGGAGGGTGGCCGTGCGGGGCGGGGGGTAACTGTCAGTTTAACTAGACTATGCTAAGCTAAGCCAGGCAGCACGAGAAGCAGTGGTTAGTACCTGCCGGTGTACGGGACCAGGCTTTGACACAGAGCAGGCGGGGCGGGGCTGCAGCCCACATCCCCAGACCCCCTGCTGCACAGATGGGGGGAGGGAGGGCTGGTGTCCCCATGAGGTTTGTGGATGGCACTGTAAATGGGCTCGGCCCTATTGGGGGTACAGAAATCACACAGTAAATGGGGCGCTTTCAGACACACAGAGACAGCAGACACAGAGACATACTGTATGAAGACACGTACGGGACACACATGCACACAGACAGAGACAAACACACACATGCAGAAGTGAGGATGCATTCAGCTGGATGGCAAGAGAGGGACGAGTCAGCTCTGGGGCCCGGGCTGACTCACAGGCTCCAGGGAGTCCCTGCCCGGAGAGGTGAAACCCATCTCACGTCCAGGCAACAGTGGCCGTGACTTCAAAACATTTGACCCCATGCCAGAAGCATCTCTTATATCCAGGGTGTTTGTTTGCCGTGTTGGGATTCGTGTTGGAGACTTTATACACCCAGTCATGTTTCGTTAAAGCAATGTTCACAAACACACCACCACAGAGAGGCATTACACACCTCGTAGACGTTCTTCAGCCCACACTCGACACCTACTTAAAATCATTTTTATTTGTTCTGTCTTTGCCCAGTTACATCAGAAAATGTGAACAGTATTGCCAAAAAGAAATTCAACAACTAAAGCTGAAGAACTGTAGCACAGATTGTGGGAAAACAATGTTCTTTTCAAATCAAATATATATGGACATACAAGTGTTGTTTTTTGTGATTTGTGCATGAGTACATTTGAAAAGTGACATTTGAGTGAGTGACAGGGTTCCCACATTTTTTGACCAATACATTTCAAGTCAGTTTCCATGAGAATTTGGTTTACAATTGACTTGGTCACAGTTTCTCACTCATTAAATATTTTAGAGCTGAAGTATTTAAACTATATTAGCTGTGAACATTTCCTTTTGCAGGACTTTCCAGGCCTGGAAATGTTAAAATTCCTTGATATTTCCAGGTTTTCCATGGTCGTGGGAACCCTGGAGAGAAGAAGTGAGTGATTGTGAGTGAATAGATGAGTAAATCCATGACTCTGACCTGGTGAAGTCCTCCTCCCCCAGCATGTGGCGTGGGACTGGGGAGTACCTCGAGGGGGTGACCTGGGGCGGCGGGTACACTGGTTTAGGCTCCATACCTCCCATGTAGGCCATGCTGGAGTTGTGTCCGACGTGGTTGTCCACCATGGTGGGGAAGGCTGGAGGGAGGCCGAGACCAGTAAAGGGAAAAAAAGGCAGATGATTTAACCAGGTAGTTACAAAGGACCAGATTATCTCTGAGATGTGGTTGGGACTGTAGATGTGTGTGCAACACAGCAGCGTCATAATACATAGTTTAATTGTAAAATTTAATGCACAACTTAATTAAAATCAAACTAAAACTCTACTAAATTAATCTATAATGCCTAAGTAAGGTTTTTGGACATTATCAGCATAAATCCTTTTAGTTTTTGATGACCGATAAGGGACAACATTATTAACTACAAAACTATGGAAACATGTTATAGATATATAAAAAATACAAATTCATAATTATATAAAATAATATTTAAGAAACCAGGGTCAAATTTAACCCAGTTATCAGGCATTACAGCTGCCAAAAAAAGCAAGTCTGATTGTGATGTGCATATACACTACTTGAAACGTTTTTGGGTTGGTAAGATTTTTTACGCTTCTGAAAAAAGTCTCTAATGGTCACCAAAGATGCACTGATTAAAGGGGTCATATGATGCGATTTTTAATTGTTTCTTTCTCTTTGAAGTGTTACAAGCTCTTGGTGCATAAAGAAGATCTGTAAAGTTGCAAAGACTAAAGTCTCAAATCCCAAAAGATATTCTTTATAAAAGTTAAGAGTCAACCACGCCTACCTAAAACGGCTCGTTCTAACACACCCCCACATGTCTACGTCACGATGTGGGAAGATTTGCATAACGCCGCCCAAATGTTCAAGCAAAGAAGGCATAACTTTTATTCTCTGTAGTACTGTTGCTGCCGCCATGTCGTGAAGGCGCTGTGTTTCTCATTGTGAAAGCGAAACTACTTTGTTTGGCCTTCCAAAAGAGGACGATATCCGCTTTGTCATGCCTAGAGCTGATCCGTGCTGGTCGCTGAGTGAATACATCAACTTCGTGCTGTGGATCGCTGGAGCGGCTTTCACCTTGGACGAAGCAGAGTCCAGCCCGGGGTCGTCACATGTGGTTGACGCAAGTCTGCCGGTCACTCCTTCGTTGAAACCGCCGGCCGCGCCCCGTTCTAAAGACCGCCCGCCTCCGCTCACTCAAGCCGGCCTCCACTCACTCTAGCCCACCGTGTGTTTCGTTGTGAAAGCGAAACTACTTTGTTTGGTCTTCCAAAAGAAGACACGACTAGAAATCAGTGGTTAGGTTGTATTTACAACACTGTTCCAGAACAGTTCAACCCAAATATTCATTTGTGTGCAGCACATTATATGGAGGACTGTAAACTCACAGGCTCACAGACTGTAAGTAAGTTTTCATTTAAAGGATTTGCCACTGATGATTCAAACGCGAGTTTTGAGCAGTGTAGAGTAGCGCTTGTTTGTCATTTCTCCGATCACAAATGCAGACATGGTTTTATGTTTACACGGCGCGATGCAACACAACGCGTAAAAAGACAGTATAAGTCATTATAATCCGTAATTATGTCCCCACTGGATGCAACAAATGCCTCGTCTATAATGGGTTTTAATGTTTTTGTCTCGTTGCTCTGGCCGGACAGGGCATTACAGTATGGTAAGGGGCGTAACATTTCTGTCACACGCTTGAGGTATTCGGCCAATCACAACGCACTGGATAGCTGGCCAAACAGAGCACACTTCGCTTTTCAGAGCGATGAGCTTTGTAAAAATCGATGCGTTTCAGTAAGGCGGGGCAGTAAGGAGAAACAATAATGGACAGTATGTGGAAAGTAATCTGTTTTTTGAACTTTAAACCGCATTAACACATTTCATTACACCAAATACACAAAATAATGTTCTTTTTAGCAACATCATATGACCCCTTTAATACAGAAACCTATACAAAACCAATACAAAATATAGAAACCTTATTTGATCAAAAAACACAATACTGTGAAATATTATTTAATTCTATACTTTTCTGTTTCCTGTTTTCAAATTATATTTAAAATGTCATTTATTCCTGTAATGGCTTCAGTGTCACATGATCCTTCAGAAATCACTCTAATATGCTGATTTGATTCTCAAGAAACAATTCTTATTATCATTGTTGAAAACAGTTTAATATTACTGCTTAATATTTTTGAGGTAACTGTGAACCATTTTTTCAGGATTCTTTGATAGAAATAGCAGCATTTTTTGAAATAGAAATATTTTGCAACAGTATACATACAGTAAATGTTTTTACTGTCACTTTTGATCAATTTAATGTGTCCTTGCTGAATAAAAGTATTCATTAATAAAACCTTTTGAACGATAGTGCATGTCCTTTATTATCTAATCAAAAGACAAAATCATTATTGTTTGCTTTCAATTATAATTTCAGCTTACTTTAATGCATTTATGTCAGAAAAGGATTCATGCTGATATTGGCCATAATTCTACTTTGCGTTTTGGAGGGCAATTTACTGTATGTACAATATTCCTGGATTAAACCTTCAAAAATACTGTATGAGGAACAATACCATAGGTGTACTTTCATTCAGAGACTTTCATTAAGAGACTGGCTTATCTTATCTTTTCAACTGACCAAAATAAATAAAATATATAAAATATTTTAATTAAAATGCAGTTTCATAGCCAATAAGAGATATTCAGTCACCATTGGCAGGTGTAGCAAAAAGTTAATTTTGGCCGCTGTGTGCATTTGTGCAGGTGGATTGTGTGAAAGCATCGTCTCTCAGTGGGAGGGAGGGATTGGTGCTGTGATGGGAGCAGCAGTGCAGTGTGTGTGGGTGTCTGAAAACAGCGCCCACTGCTACACCACAGTACAGTTACAAAACTCCACAGCACTCACAGGCAATGCACCACTCGCTTTCATTACAGGGTTAAAGATAAAAGCAGATAGGGACACAGGTTCTATTTAAAAATTGACACAACCACCAAGTCCCTTTCACGTTTATCAATGCAGTACAAATAGTCATGTGCTAGAGCTTTAAAATGGACAGATTTTAAGCTCGTAAGGGCATAGGTTGGATGGAGATCAGCAAAAGAAGGTACGTACTGCTAGAGTAGTCTGGTGGGGCGTACATGTCGTTGAGATGTACTGGTCCCGGCTTGGCCACTTTCAGATAGACCATGTCTGAAGTGTTCTTCAGGGCGGCCACAGCCTCCTCATGACGCACATCCTGAAGTATAATGTTATTCACCTGCGAAGG